CCAGCCTGGGTTTCCCTGGGGTCTGTCTGGCAGTGAGCAAGTTTGTGTCCTGAGCTTATGGTGATGACAAGAGTGTCACTCCAGCCGGGCTCGGTGGCTCAGCCTGTAATCCCGCGCTTGGGGAGGCTGAGGTGAGTGGATTGCCTGAGCCCGCGGGTTCGAGACCCGCCTGGGCAGCGAGACCTCATCTCTACAATAAATCAAAAAATCAGCCGGGCATGGTAGTGCGTGCCTATAATTCTGGCTACTCGGAAGGCTGAGGTGGAAGGATCGCCGGAGCCCTGCAGGTCGAGGCTGCGGTGGCCGGGAGCGGCCACTGCCCTCCAGTCTGGGCTACAGAGTGAGACTCCAACTCAAAAAAAAGAGAGTCACTCAAGACAAACACAAAGCAATGGGGGGAGGGGCAGGGGTGGTGTCCAGGCCTGGGCAGCTGGCTAGAGAAGCCAATGTCCTGGGGCCAGGACAGGCCAGCTCGGCAGCCCTCAGGGGAGGGAGGCCAGGCCCCTGCTCATCCATTCATTTATTCAGTTACTATTCTGAGTCCTATTGGCAAAGCAGTGAACAAAACAAAACAAAACAAAACAAAAACCCTGTCTTCATGGAGTTTACATTCTGAGGCTGGGGAGTGGGGGAGGGTGGGCAGGGGGTAGAGACACACACACACACACAAAACAAAGAAAAGAAATAGTATGTCAGATGATGGTAAGTGGTGTCAGAGTCCCTTGTAAAGGAATACCTGGGGCTGGGTAATTTATAAGAAGAAGTTTATTTGGCTCACGGTTCTGCAACAGTGCAAGGAGCATGGTGCTGGCCCCCGCTTCTGGTGAAGCTTCAGTTGCCTCCACTCATGGGTGGAGCACAAGAAGGGATCCAGGTTGTACAAAGATCATAAGGCAAGAAGGAGAGGAGAGGAAATCAGAGGAGGGACCAGGCTCCTTCCAACAACCAGCCGTGGGGAACCTAGCCGGGGAGAACACCCTCCCTGCCACAGGCACCAAGCCATTCATAAGGAAGTCAACCCCGGGGCCCAAACACCTCCCACTGGGCCCCAACTCCAGCCCTGGGGACCACATTTCAACATGAGATTTGGGGGATATCCAAAGAATAGCAAGGGTCAGAGGGAGCAGTGGCTCACCGCTATAACCCCAGCACTTTGGGAGGCTGAGGCAAGAGGATCTCTTGAGCCCAGGAGTTCAAGACCAGCCTGGGCAACATAAGGAGACCTTGTCGCTACAAAAAAAATTAAAAAGTTAGCCGGGTGTTGAAAGACAATGGCGCCAGTGAGACTCAGTACCCTTTGAGGCCAAGAGATTTATTAGAGCAGCGGCTACAGAGAGGGAAGGAGGTCTGTAACCACCTGGTGAGAAGGGGAGTGAGAGAGAGAGGGCGAGAGAGAGGTCTGTATTTATCGGTTTTGGGAGGGGGCGGCCTGTGCTCTCTGAGCCTGGCCGTGCCAGCCAGAGCCATCTTAGGGTCTTTATCGGAGGGAGCTATGAGGTAGTATTTTTATAGGGAGATAATATTTGTGTATGAGTTTAAGTTTCGTGCGCGCGGGAGAGGCAGGAATTTACGGCCTTTGTTGTCTTTGTTAGGTTCCCTATAGGGTTGGTGCCATCTCAGGAGACGTCCTTCTGGCTGTTTCCTGTGCCTTTCAGGTGTGGTGGTGCACACCTGTAGTCCCAACTACTTGGAAGGTTGAGGTAGAAGGATTGTCGGAGTCCAGGAGATTGAGACTGCGGTGAGTTGGGATTGTGCCACTGTCCTCCAGCCTGGTGACAGAGTGAGACTCCAACTCAAACACACACAAAAAAGCAAGTGGTAAAAAGAAGAAGAGGAGAGGGATGTTGGGGTTTCTATTTTGTTGTAATGATTTCTTGTTGGCTGTTATTTGCTCTTTTTTGTTGCTTGTTAGGTTTGGGTGTTGTGTTTTATTTTATTTTATTTATTTATTTTTTTTTTTGAGTTGAAGTCTCACTCTGTCGCCCAGACTGGAGTGCAATGGCTGCTCCCGGCCACCGCAACCTCGACCTGCTGGGCTC